GAGCTTTTACAAGATTGAATTTCCCTTCTGGGATAAATAAAGTATTTTTCATTCATTTCATTCATTCATTTCATTCATTCACAAAGTATTTTTCTATTCTATTCTTCTATTCTATTCCATTTAGATCAGGGCTCATAGAAGGCCACTTCAGAATAGTCCAATGTTTTCCTCTTAGCCATTCTTGGGTGTTTTTAGCTGTGTGTTTTGGGTCACTATCCTGTTGCAAGATCCATGACCTGCGACTGAGACCAAGCTTTCTGACACTGGGCAGCACATTTCTCTCTAGAATACCTTGATAGTTTTGAGATTTTATTGTACCCTGCACAGATTCAATACACCCTGTGCCAGATGCAGCAAAGCAGCCCCAGAACATAACAGAACTTCCTCCATGTTTCACAGTAGGGACAGTGTTCTTTTCTTGATATGCTTAATTTTTGCGTCTGTGAACATAGAGCTGATGTGCCTTGACAAAATGTTCCAGTTTTGTCTCGTCTGTCCATAGGACATTCTCCCAGAAGCTTTTTGGCTTGTCAACATGCAGTTTGGCAAATTTCAGTCTGGCTTTTTTATAATTTGTTTTCAACAATGGTGTCCTCCTTGGTCGTCTCCCATGAAGTCCACTTTGGCTCAAACAACGACGGATGGTGCGATCTGACACTGATGTACCTTGACCTTGGAGTTCACCGTCTTAACGTCTTTAGAGGTTGTTCTGGGCTCTTTTGTTACTATTCTTATTATCCGTCTCTTCAATTTTTCATCAATTTTCCTCTTGCGGCCACGTCCAGGGAGGTTGGCTACAGGGCCATGGATCTTCAATTTCTGAATAACACATGCAGCTGTAGTCACAGGAACATCAAGCTGTTGGAGATGGTCTTATAGCCTTTACCTTTAACATGCTTGTCTATCATTTTCTTTCAAATCTCCTGAGACAACTCTCTCCTTCGCTTCCTCTGGTCCATGTTTAGTGTGGTACACACTATGTCACCAAACAGCACAGTGACGACTTGTACCCCTATAAATACGCCGACTGATTAATTACATGTTTGTAGACACCTGTGATGATAATTAGAGGAGACACCTTGATTGAACAAGTTCCTATGGTCACATTATTTTCAGTCTTTTCTAGGGGTACCATCATTTTTGCCCAGGCCTGTTTCATGAGTTTACTTTTTAAATAATTCTGTTGAACCACAGTTCAAAAGCAATGTCTGATTTTCATTGCTTAATTTTCATAGAATTTTATGAATGAATGAATTTTATTTATTATTACTTTTGTCAGATTCAAGTTATTTCTGTGACTGTTGTGGGTTTTTCTTTCATTAACCGAGAGGTATCAACAATTTTGTCCATGTGTGTATATATGCTGTTTTAAGGCATATGTATGATGTTTATTATGTTGTGCATGGTATGATTGTAGTCCCTGGCCATCAAAACATGTAGACAAACATTATCTTTTTGGTTTTGGTTTGGTTTTAGCTGAAAGTTAAATGGTTGCCATTGTTGCCATGAGGCTTTTTTTGCAATGCTCCATGTCTGAAAATATTCAGGGTCTCAAACTACAAGTGTAAAAAGCTTCATGCATAAGTTAGCATTATAACAGAGAAATCCTGAACTGCCTGATCACTAATATAAAATATTATTACACAATATTGTGATGCAGGGGAGGCGTTGGGGAGTTCGACAAGTAATCTCCCCAGCAGGCTGCTAACTTTCCACGCAGAAGATGTTGGACAAGACTAGACCCTGACTTGTGTTTGGACAAAGAAGAGATAAATCATGAGGTGTCATTGAGATTGATGCGCCAGGGGCCAAGAATGCAAAACCCAGCAAGTATTTGAGATGCTTTTTCTAAAAAAAAGTGTTTAAATCAGATTTTTTTCTGAATCACAGTGGTGACACAGACTGGTCCTTGTATCTGTTTCTCAGTCAGGTCAGGTGAGTCAGCAAAGCAGCATAAACTATGTTATCCTGTGGGACTAAGCGGGGTGCAGGGTGGAGGGACGGTAAGTCAGCATGCTCCTAAACAGAGCCACATGTCTTCAGGTCGAGGCCAACCAATGGGTCCGCTCGGGCTGGATGTGAGGCCACGAGAGCCCACTGGATCACTTTCAACATGAGGGGAAAAGCGCCAGTGTGGGGTTGGACTCAACCAGCGAGTGAGCTGTAAGGCCTTTTTTTTTTTTTTTTTTTTTTTACAAGCGCGCAGGGCCAACAGAAAAACCTCTGACACCACAGCACAGTGGCCAATAAACATGAATACTGGCTCACATGCTCATTATGATACAGTGAATAAGTTTGTGGATTTGCCAGTAGGAACCACTATAAATTCCTGGAGCATTTTTTTGGCTGGCTGAGCCAATTTCAGGCCGGGTCTAAGTACATACATGATGGTTGTACGTGGCCAAAAATTGCTAATGACGCTCCATAAAACCTGATCTATGGGCAAGAGGTGGGAAACTTGTAATCTGAAAACTAAAAGCGAGGTTTCCTGTCAAGCTGTCAGAGTGAATAAGTACAGATCAGCGGTTGAATACAATTTTGTACCTTTTAAAACGTCTGTTTGCTTGCACATCTAAACCAGAACATATTGGATCTAATTGTGCAGAGCATTCTTTTCTCCTTGTACACTGTTGTTGTTCCAAACATATGTGTATTATTATGCAAGAAAAATAAGATGATAATCAATATTTCCTAGAACTTGAAGGTTTCAATTAAAGGAACCCAAAATGGTCAGTACAATAATAACTATTTAGTCTTCTATCACATTTTTATGATTAAAAAACACATTCAAAAGTATTAACAGTGGTCTGGTTCTAATAACATGAGAAGGGAATTTGTTTTTCTTGGCAGTCCACTATTGCTAATGGAGTTCAGCACTGAGAATGGCATCTCCTGCCAATCTCCAATGTTTTCTCAGGGGAGATGAGGGCACAGTTTACTGGAATATGGCCTAAAAATAAGAGTTCACTGGGGAAACTGATGAAATGGTACAAAAGTAGCCTCAAGTGTGAAAACCCTCCATTTTTACCTGCCCAGTTAAGTGAAACGTTGCCCATTTAGGTAGAAAAAAAACACAGATCTGTCACCACTGACCATGTACATGAAGCAGTTTACCCCAACATGTCATTTAGTGGTGAGAATTTGAACTTCAGTGCTGTGAAACTGGAAATAAGCAGCAAAGTCGGCTCTGACATAACTGGTAACCAATTTAGACACGGAGCTGGGAAGATTAATTTCTCTCATTAGGTTTTCTGACAAAATGAAGCACATTTTGAAATCCACATCCCCAATTGTTGTTTGGAAACAAACAAACTCCACTTTACGTGAAATAAAATTGTGGCTGTGCGAGTTTTAACCTCATCATTACTTAATTTCGTCCATAAGTCATTTTGGGCAATTTTAGTTGCTCTGCTGTCAAAAGCTTTACAGCATTTACCTTCTGTCCTCGTCTTACTAAAGATGTGTGCGAGGTAATGCATCGGATATTTAACCCTTAAATGCTTGTAGTAATTGTTAAACTTCAGTAAAAATGTAAATGCAGAATAAACTGTTACTTCTGATTGTTTGTCAAAAAACTGCCATCCTTTCCTACGCACGTGGAGCGAGCCATACAATATATGATTACGGCATACCGGCATATTAGTCTTGAAAAGCCATACCTATCTCCACAGCGCTGGAGAATAGGCTGCCTGCACCTCATCATCACTCTGCTGTAGGGGAGGAAAAAAAAAGCTCTGGCTCATTTGTATTTTTTTTTTTAAACCAGTCACAATCTTGGGCGTTGTGAAGCCCAGAATGTAGTGACAGTGCCCCTGCAAAATTGGAGAATCGTTTTGGTGGAACATACACATGATGTGAGCACTGTCACTAATTCGCCCCCAAAAAATAAGCTGGCCTGTCTTATTACACGATTCAAATATTCATTAAAACTTGCCATTTTCAGATTCTAAAATGGTAGCTTAAAAGATGACGTTTCTTGTAGCAAAGAGAACGTTAAAAACAGCAACACGCAGATAAAAGGGCAGGAAAAAGTATTGTGAAGTGTATGAAATGAACAAGGTTTTGGTACTTCTCAAACAGAACTTGGAAATTTTAGTTTCACATTTCTGCTGCTTAAAGTCTGATCCAGGCATTCTGCTGAACAGTTCATGAAGAGGTCTGCGCATTTCACAATCATGTGGTTTGACCTCAAACACAACTATCTGTCGCAGCCACACATTGACAAACCTGTGGATTCACTTGTCAAAACAACATCACTCTCACATCAGTCTTTCAGTGACGGGAAAAGAAGCACTGAAGCTTTGTGTTCATGGGCTTTGTTGTTATTGTAAGAACCGACTTCTTAACAGGAATTTCACTAGAGATAGGCTGTATTTCCGTTTTTGTGCGTCAAAAATTCCTGGTTAAAGCTGCAACTACTGCAAAGTACCAAAAACTTCCATTCCTTCAATTGAGTGAGTCAGTCCCCATAGACCCCCATGTTAACTCCCAATCATGACAACTGCACAGGGACTGAATTTTTATGTAACTTACCCACTTAAATCGTATTAACTCTTAAAGTTAATAATTCACAGACGAATTGTCCGTCTTGATATATAGTCAGTGGTTTTGACTGCCTATAAAATCAAATAAAGTCTAAATGTAGGGAGTGGAGACGTGTTGATATCAAATTTACAGGCTACAATTATTAAATGGCATTGTCAAGAAAATATAGGTTGTCCTCTTTGTATAATGGATGATTGTCACTGTGCAAGAAAACAGTTTGCACAATTATTTGCTGAAGGGCCAACATTTCTTTTACACTATATCTGTTAAATGCACAAGTCAGAGTCTAACTTTCAACTTTGTAATTTTAATGGACAAAAAAAGAGTATTTTTATGTCTTCAGGTGTGAATGTGAAAAGCTTGTCTTGTTGCAACCAACAAAACAACATAAATTGATGTTTTAGTTCTACTCGGCTGATTTATTGTGCAGATTAAAGTTTTTTTTTTTCTCAACTAGTCATCTAGTTTGAAAAGGTAGAAAAGACGTGCATAGCTTAAACACACTATGCAAAAAAACCCAAATGCATACTTATTAAAACTCTCACTGCAACCTTTTTAACTCCAGAATATATCTTACAAAAAACAAAGGTACATTGGTTAATTTGCTTTCTTCCTCTTTACATTACAGTTACATGGTGGACAATATGTGTCCTTCAGGACTCATTTGTGGTTCTGTTTTATGTTCCTCGCAGAAAATTCAATCCACTGCAGCTTTGTTCTCTCCTCTGAAGACTAAAATCCCATACGTCCTGGAGAGTTTACTGTTACAAAGTCAATCGAAGGAGTTTATCCGATGACAGAATCTGTCCATTAGCAGGGGAGCCAATCTGGACAACCGTCAACGCGAGAGCAGTTGACGTACAGTGGCCTCAAATAGTTCCAAATATTCGATTTCATGAATGTGTAAACATCTTGCAAATGTTAACATACTGGAACCTTGTATGTTTGGAAAGGCTGCTGTCCAAATGTCTGTGACTAAAACCAATCCTGTTACCTCGCTCCCAAATTTGGCGATAAAAACCACATGTGCTATGAGTAGTGGAGGTGGAAAAGAAACTAACTCGTATTTAACACGCAAAAATACAACTGGTAAGTCCTCGTCCGCTGGGTTTTGAGTCCTCAAACAAACAAACGGTCTGTCGGCTTGTTCAAAGTGAAAATGTGCTCTGCTCCGACCAACGTGTAGCAACTATGGCTGGTTGGGGGGGCTGGCTGCTGTGGCCTCATCGTTGCTGCTGTCCACCTCCTGCTCCATGGGGCTGTCCTCCTCCAGCTGCTGGCTGGTGTAGTTGGTGATCTCCAGGAAGCCGCTGGGCTCCACCACCACGTTGGACTGGCTGGAGTCCGGCAGGATGGAGTACTGGGGGATCACCTGCATGCGTCGGAGACATGAGAGTTCAGTCAGGTCAGTTTACAGTAGCGTTTGACATAAATCTTTGAGTTTAAAACCCTGAAGTGGGTAAAATTTCTTATTTTCCTCCTTAGTGTTACAGGTGTTTGAGACTTGAAGTTCAGTAACTCTGTGCTTCATCATTTAGTGATGCTTTAAGAGATACATTTAAGTATTTTCATCATTGTTACCACACGTTTTCAGCTATAGATTTAACCGTCTGAACTCCTAAACCAGCTGGCAGGTTTGAAAGCTTTGAAAGCTAAACTGCAAGCTGTCATTACACAGAGCAGACGGAGATAAGTATGGAAACAAAATAAAAATTTGAATAGTTAAATATTTATAGCATGTGAAGCCCCCATTCTTTCCAGTATTAATAAAGACTGTGGGCACTTAGAAAAATATTGGACATGTTGATTTGACAGTTTTGTTTGTGGAAAACAAATAATCTAATCTACTTCATTTTTTCTTTTCCTAAGGATTTATGGCATTCTAACTTTTTTGAACATCTCTACTTCTAACCATGGTTGTGTTGTGTCCTTGGAGGTGCAGGACTTTACATTGCAGTAAAAAAAAAAAAAAAAAAAAAAAAAGTGCCCACAGTGAGTGACAGGAGCAGAAAAGGCCCACACACTGCTTGAGCCTCAGAGTGATAATGCACAGTTGCAGCACATTTTGGTAAATATGCTATTTGCATTCTTGCCAAGAGCTAAATGAGAGGATTGAAACGACTCCAAGAAACAGTTTCAGCTTCAGTAAAAACACAACCTGCTCTTTCTAGATTCACACTTTTAAAATAAATGATATACGACATGTTACTAATGGGCCTTCGAGGCACTGTTAGACATATTTGGCATCTCGGGGCAGATCAAAGCTATCCATTTCCCCTGATGCCAGGCTTTACGCTGAGCTAAGCTGCTAGTCTTACAGTGAGAGTACAGACGTCAGGGTGGTATTGGTCTTCTGATCTAAGTCTCTGCAAAAAGCAAAAAGGCACATTTCCTGAAATGTTCAACAACAAGCTTGACTTCAGGTTTTAAGAGGGAGCATTAGGAGCCATCTCACCTTCTTCGCAGCCAAATGAGGTTTTAAGGAGCCAAAATGTCACCACAAAGCTGTTACTCATTTAGCCACAGTAGCTGTTACTGTGTAAAGATGACAACATTTAAGTTTTCTCTCCCATCTGTATGTGAATTATTTAGTGGAATTGACCATTTGATCAGAGATTAACTTCTTTTTTAGAGATTATTCGTCTGTTGCGAAGACACTTGGCTTCTTTACTGGATGTCAGTTTCTTCTTAAAAAAAAATGCTTGTTTATATAACACAGGATCGACTGACAGTGACATTTTAAAACGCAAACACTTGTATCACTCCAAGTAAACCTGGTATTAGTATGACCTCTAACATTAGAAACGTGCAGGAACAAGTTCTTCATTTGCAAGTGGAATGATGCGCTGCATTTGTTTGCTGCAAGGAAAGCTTTCAATTAGACAACCCCACTGGGTGTGTGTGTTTGCTTATTTTAACGTCTGCTCTGATGGGGACTGGGTTATATTAACTGGGTTGAAAAACATCAAATTAAAGCATGAGGAGCAGTCTTTGTTAAATTGCTTTTAAAGCTGCACATGTTGCCTAATGAAGCTGGACAGTGGACAGATGCTCTGGGCTTAGTTGTGGCAGACCTATAGCTGAAAATAAACTTATTAATGTAGGAACACTTCAAGTGATGGTTTAAATCATGTCAAAGTAAAATAATATTTGCTGTCCTTTGAAATAAATACCTTTATGTAAAGGGTCAGAAATATTTGTTTAATTTGGAAACATTATCTTCTTCTCTTAGTGCAGCATGATTTATTAGCATCACAGTCAACATTATAAATCAATGACTGACTTATACTGTCTTTTAATAAAGAAGTCAATGTGTAACAGATGCGCTGACAGGCTCAGGCTGTGTGATTTATTACCTACGTGATTTTGTGATAAAATCCTTACCTCGATGACCTCCAGGTCCTCTTTGCTCCTCTGCGCTGTGAGACCCTGCATGCAGCTAAACTGCTGGGGCTTCGCGTGGGAGTGATGCATGGCAGCTCCAGAGCTGCTGATGAACTGGCCCGAGTCCAGTGTGCCCGACACGGCCGCCACCTCCAGCGCCTTCCCCAGAGGGCCGCAGTCGCTGGAGGAATCCACCACCATGGGCTCCGTGCTCGGGTCAATCTCTGCCTCCATCATGGAGATCTTTAGGATGTCCGACACCGAGGGCTTGTCCCCCGACGACCCGGAGCTGGACTCGGGGATCAGCTTGGCGGCCGCCTCACCACTGCTGAACACTGGCGATGAGTGGTGGGAGCTTCCAAAGGTGATCTTGGTGACGGTGGCGCTCTGCGTGATGATTGGCTGCTGTGATGCAGGGGAAAAAAAACAAACAAAAAAAAACCAAGAAATAAATGTTTTGTGGAAGCTGTAGATATACTTGTTTTTGCTTTCAGCTTCTGGAGAAGCATGTTGGTGTCTGTTTGAAAGATTTAACACACAAAGGAAACAAGCTTGCACTGTAGCCCACAAGCCATAATGTACATTTGCAGGCTCTTTAACGTGCTGCAGCTGTGCAGATAGACATGCTTTTTTGTTAGAAAGTGACACAGCAGGACGGTTTGCAGTGCTGATCTAAGGGCTCAAGTTCTAAATGTACAGATATGAACATCTGGCAGTTTAATAATCTTGAAAATCTAAATTGAGTTTCTGACTTTTCCTCGAGGGAGAAAGCATACAAGTGATGTACAGAGCAGATGTGGATGCAGATAAAAACTGCAGTTCTGTTACTGTTGTTGTGATTAATTTATATTCCAGCTGTATGGAATGCCTCAAGCTAAAATACAGCCAAAGATAATTTCTTCAAAGTCTTAACCAGGATGACTAAACTCCACACATAAGTGAGGCTGACTTGTTTGGTTTTGCCTGACCAGCTGACAGGATTCAGTCACCAGTATAGACACGAGGAGAGCAGCAGCTCCAGGTGGCATTAATTACATCATAAATGAATTTCCTGTTGCTCATCAGTCTGCCGCTGGTTTGAGGTAAATGTCACAAGGGATTTATTGTATTTCGCTGCCAGGTAGGGAAACCCCAGCATCGCAACACATGCTGGTTATGCAAACAAGTCCAAATGAAACTCTATCAGCTGCTTCGGGGGATTTTCTCCTGGCAGAAGTACCTATACATCTATAGACGCTACTCACCTGGCTGGAGGTAGTCTTCTCAGTGCTGACGGGGTGATGCGCCTGCAGCGGAGGAGGATGGGACATAGACGTGTGGAGGGGTCTGTGGTGGGACGTGGGGGCTTGCTGGAGCTTTGGCAGCTGTGGCGTCACTAGGGGTTTGGTTGGCGTGGCCGGGGTCCCGACCTTCAACCCGGGCTGCGCTGGTGCCGGCAGGGGTCTGTCTTTGGGGCTCTGGGTTAAGGCCTGGGGTTTGGGCTGAGTCTGCTCTCGTAGTTTCGGTATTTTCTTGGTCAGAGGAGGGGTGGAGGAGAAGGTGGAGGAGGAGGAGGAGGAGGAGGAGGNTTTTACAAAAACCGACAAGCCAAAAACTTTTCATTGAGCTCTCAAAACTCTGGCTCATTTTGTTTTGGGGGATGGAGGAGGGGTGGAGGAGAAGGTGGAGGAGGAGGAGGAGGAGGAGGAGGAGGAGGGCTGGCTGATCTGAGGTTTGCTCTGCAGCTGTGGGGGCAGTGGCTGCTGCTGGGTGGGGGTGGAGGTGGAGGTGTGCCGGCTCGCCTCTGCTTCAGCCTGGCTGGAGGGCATTGGCTGAGCTGAGTGGACGGTTTGCTTCACGGGTTCTGAAGCTGGCTGGCTGGAGCGGTAGAACAAACCGGTCTGGGGGTCCAAAGTGTCACCTTCCAGCTCGCCCACCTCCAACACCGTCTCAGTTTTACTGTCAGAGGGCTGAAACACAGCAGAGAGGACGGATGTTATCACTAGACTCATCCACACGGAGCTAAAAGCATCTCTGACAGTAATCTAAGTTCAAAGCAGCACATAATGTTGTTGTCATCTCAAGAATACAAACTATCTTAAGTTTTTAAGTCAAAGAAACCACATTAAATGTTTAATCTCATCACGCCTGGATAACTGACAGTCTTCTCACCAGCATGAACCAAAAATCTTTTGATCGACTCCAACAGCCATGATTTTGACCAGAAACACGAAACGCGATCACGCTTCACACTGACTCCATTTTAGGGTGAATTTTAAGATTTTACTGGTTGGTTTTATCTTTTCCTGAAAACTAAAGAGGACGGAGTGTTTCCAGCTCTGGAACGACCTGTCTGAGAAAATTATGTTGGCTTAGTCAACGATCTCTTTCAAGTCCCTTCTCAACATACACTTTTATCAGCGAGCCTTTCTTGACTTTGTTTCCTTTGAGTTGTCTCTTATTTCGGTTAATAATGTTTTTTTCCTTTTCCAACACTGTACTGGATTTTATGCACCATCTGCGTTTTTTAAAACCTGATGATTTTATGACTTCTCTGATTTTCTTTCGATGCCTTGTGAAGCACTTTTTGACTTGGACTTCTAAAAAGCGATCTGTAAATATAAATTACTGTTGTTGTATTGCAAAGGCTGGAATACAATAACACGATGTAATAAGATGATTTAACGACATTGAGGTGAAATAATCAACGGGACTACTGTCTTCCGAGCCTCAAATACTGAGCACCATGACAGTACTGTGTCATAATAATTAAAGGGAAAAAAAAGCACTGAAAATAGATTTTTTTTTAATTGTGGTACATTTTTTCTCATAAATACATGCGGTTTGGCCGTGGTAAAGCCACTATGATCTGGAGCTTTAGGTTTCTGTGCAGTCATGATCATCAGTCAAAAGTTTAAGCAGTTTAAATTCACAGTCTAAGTTGCCTGAAGGCACTGCATATAATAAAGTCAAGTTATAATAACATATTACAGACAGAAATCCAGAAAAACCCATCAATTCTCATTCAGCAGTCACACTTTAACATGAAGAAAGAAGAGAAGCAAAAAGGAAAGCAAAATAAACAGAAACATTAGGCACTGGCTGGGGTATGAAAAAACAAAAAAAAACAATAACAAAAAACAGATACTATCATCACTCGACAAGTAATTTCACCCAAATTCCCAGAAAACATTTTCTCCAGCGGTAATCCACCGACCTCTCCATAAACCAGTTCCACTAAACGTACTGAAGAAACTGTTCCTGTTAATGTGTTTTTGATGGTTTACCCAGAGCGGCATGTGGTGCTCGTAGGACTGAAAAATGCAAATGAAATTCCATTTAGGGCCTCATCAGAGGCCACTGGAGGTAAATGAGAAAACAAAAGAATACAAACAAACAAAAGAGGACTGAAAAAAAAACAAAATTACAAATGCTCCAATACAGACGGCTCCCAAACCTCAGTGACGAAGGAAAATCATTCACGTAGATCCAGAATACAACAATTACATCAGCATCTGAAGCAGTTTGATTCCCAGTTATATGAAGCCAGAATAAACTAAAAAAAATTGTAAGTACATGAAAATTAAAAGCACGATCAGGTTGCAGTAAGATGAGAGAATAAAGATGACTGGAAGCAGCGAAAAGAGGTAACAGATCTTAAAATGAAGGACAGTTAGCAGAAACTGAACTTCATTCTGGAATTAGGCTGCAACCAATAAAGTGATTTATCTAAGAGGGAGTGGGGACTTCTGTGCTGACATCTCAAAAAAATTGTGCAAGAGTTGAATACAACATTATACAGAATGCAACTGAACAAACTCTTCCTATGAAAGTGTTTCCTGTGGATTACCCAGGGTGGCTTTGTGGTGGTACTTGTGGTACTGAAAATTAAAAGGAAATTCTATTTACCTCCATTGTTAGGTAAGAAAACCACTTGAGGTAAATCAGGAAATATTTTGGTGTTCATTTGTGTAGTTACTCTTCTTTATTTAATCTGTTTGGAAAACCATTTTTAGTGAAGTGAAGCTTTGAGCTTCAACCCTGCATTTATCACTTCTGTTAAAATTAATCATTAATGATGATGTTTTCTATCCCAGTCATTTATAGAACCGCATACAATAAAAGTTAACCTCTTTATTTTCTGAGATCAAAGTCCTGTGCTCACCACTTGTGAAGCTGTGGAGGAGACAGCGACCGGTTTGGTTACCACAGTAACCTGGCTGCCGGCTTTATAAGGCTTCGCCAGCTGCTGACTGGAGGACATGACCACGTCGTCATCCTCCGAGGATGCTCCCACTCTGCCGGCTTTACCTGCAGGAGGGAAATCCCAGCCAGGCGGTCACATGATGGTATCAAACAAGACAGGCTTGTTTCACTATGTGCCAATTTGAGATTTTAGTTTGAGGTTTAGCTTGTTCCACTGAAAGTATTAGCTGGCAACCAAAAAAGGAAGCGTAAAGGGTTTCAGATTCAGCAGGTGAAGCAGTGGAGGGCAGTACCTGGAACGATGTACTCGGTGCTGGGTTCGACCTCGGAGGTGGAGGGTTGGGGGGACTCTGGGCTCGGCTTCTTCTCCTGGGCCAGCTGGATGGGCACCGCCATCTGGCTGAGGTCGATGGTGTGTTGCCTCGGCTTGGACTCTCCCTTCTCCTTCACTGTCGGGGAGGAACAACACTGAAATTCAGCATTATTGAGGAATTCAGACATATTTCTCATTTCTAAAAGCTCATACTGACAAATTCAATTCAACTGTTTCTAATTTGCTGGTCCTTTGTTCCGTGTTGAGCAACTTTCAATATAACAATATGACCAGCAGCGCTGCAGAACGATGCTTTTTACAATCGGGTCCCTGTTTCGTTCATAGTGCATATTAGGACACATGTTTGCACAATTCAACACAAGATCCTGCTAGCAAGTAAACATGGATGGAAACATTGCAGTATTCTCAACATTCCACAAGTTTTATGGAGGAGACACATTTTTTTTTAGCCCTCAAGGATTCACATACTGCATTTTTATGAGTACCCCTGAATGTAAAGATAACTTTATAAAGTTATCTTTACATTTAGGGGTTCATTTCATTCATTCTTTACATTCATTCATACTTTAGAAATACAGTTCTATTCTATTCTATTCTTTTGTTTGTTTACAAGCAAACTCCACAGTAGGGCTCCATAACATAGAATTTTCGCAGACACATGTAGATTTCAGGAAGGACACAGGGGATACGTCCCACTGGACATTTAGAACACATGCATTATGTGTGTTGACTCGGCAGGGATGCTCTTTCTACAGGAGAATAAATATTTAAAAGAAATAGAAAATCCTTGAAAACCTTATTTGTATTAAAGTCCACTATTATTAGAATAGTCTCCTGATTCCTACATTTAGTTTTTTCCTTTACATAAACAGACATTTCAACATCGAGAAGTGTTTTTCAGGCACTAAACAACAACAGTGGGACTCATCTATTAATAAGTGGATCTGCTGAGCAGCTCAGGTTTCATGAACTGTGAACTGCAATTTTCTCAGCTGGGAATTTACTGAGATAATTGATGACGAGCAGATAAACATCTGTCCCTGTTTTGTTTTTATGCGTGACTCCATTCAATTGCAGACACTATTCACACGTTTGGATATTCCAGGGAAATCTTTATCTTTGTCTGTGTACTCATCAATCCTGTTCCACAGGTTTGTAGTCCAATGAGCTATCCTTCAAAGCAAAGCCTCGAGCTAAAAAGAGAATCGTTGTGGGTCAGCAGCTACCCAGGCTTCAGCAGTTCCTGTAAGCCTATTCATGTTTGTTCAATGTTTTGAATGTATATTTAAATCGGATGAAGCAAAGGGACCACCGGCTTGGTGGTGAGACTCATTTTGGTGTTTGCGATAATGTGTAGAAAGGTAGGTGTTTTCCACCTGTCCTTTGCATGTAATCATCCATGTGAGCCGTCAGCACTGCTGCAGTCAGCATGTGTTCAGGCGATAATGAAGCTACGCCTCACTTTTCCGTGACATAAAGCCTCACCTGTTGTCTGTTGCAGCTCCAGCAGCGCTTTGATGGTGGAGGTGGCTGACTGGGATTCCGCGGTAGACACCTCCTGGTAGATAATAGTGGGACTGGACTCCACAGAAACCTCCTGCTCGGTCCAATCCTGCTCTCTGGAGGACACCACGTGCACTACAGGCTGCGGTTCTGAGGATTGACACGGATAATGTCGGCCAATATTTAAGGAATTTTACAAATAAGCATCAGGTTGGGCTTATTTTTTACATTAAACGGCCTTTAACTACGGTGCCTCTTTTAAGCCAAATAATGAAAGTCTTAGAGTGTGTCATCTGGTTTTCAGCTCAAAACACTACAAATACCATGATTGTGTAACTCCTGGTCTCGGGCCTGTTCTAAACAGATCATCTTAGTGTCTGTAGCTTTAAATGCTGCTGTCCCTGCCCCCTTCAGGAAAAAGACTCTCTGTGGGGCAGGATTATATAAACTTTTAGCTCAATGCCAACTGGTCCCTCAGTTTCCACACTAACAGAGAAATTCTCACTGGCTTATAAAGCTGAGTGGAAATCTCGTAGCAGTAAGAGTCTTCATATTCTCACAGCTTCTATTTTACATCTCCAAGTTTTTAAGGCAAACAAAAAATAATAAAAATGGATTTTGACCATATGGAACAGTAAATGCTGTTTCTGACCTCCTTTCCTGTCCTTATTAAAAATTCAAGTGCACCTTGAGTGCTGCTATGCGAGGCCTCGCTGGCTAAGCTGCTGGCCTCAGTGAGGCTGCCGGCCTCGTCCTTCGAGGACCCGTCCTGACCTGAAGTCTGGCTCTGACCCATTTCCGCAGAGCGGGTCACCTGCTGCAGCGTCTCAGTGACCAGCTGCCTGGTCTGCTCGCTCACCACCGCTGCCTGGAAGACTGGCTTCGGCTTGATGAGAACCTGGAGGGAAACCAAAGGAGCACACGGTGACCTAAACAGCTGTGATTTTTTGACTGACAAGTTCTGCGTCATCAGCACCAGGCATCATGCTCCACATGTTGACTTCTGAATTGATGTTAATGAAGGATGGTATCTGAGACTATCAGTTAGAAAATGCATAGTTTCAGTATTTGTTATACACAAAACATAGTGATCATGTAACTGTCAAGGATTATCCATCAACTTTTATTTAAAATGGAGCAGCTTCGAGGTAACAGCTGCATGTACAATAAAGCAGAGCAAAGACACAAAACAAGACGATGCAGGCATAAAGTTAACAAACAGACACAATGATCAAAGTAGCTGGCGATTAATGCAATAGTTAACACCTAGTTGATAAATTCTTGCAGCTCCACTTCTGGTGCATGTTCAGGAAGCAGGTCATCAGTGTAAACAATTGGAAAGGCAAATTTTGAATGAACAATCTACATCTTCAGAAGTTTGGTAAGGATGTTCCGTTTACGTCACTGGAAACTGTTTTTGTGCAGTTGGTGCTCAAACTAATTTTAAAAAATGTGAGGTGATTTTTCAGATAGTTGTTTTGGTTTAAGCAGATCTAGTTTGTGGTTCCATTGTAACTGCACAGTACCTCATCAGTGTGGGCGTCTGATACTCTAGTATGTGTATATGTGCACAGCTAGCTGACTCACTGACCTCAATTTCCCCTTAATGACTGAAACAGAAACTGAATTCAGGCTAAATTTAGACTCTAGTGATGCGTTTGATAGTGAAACTATGACATACTGTTTGTAAATGAACAGAAGAAGTCATCAAAATCCTGCCCAGAGTGATAAAACATTAGAATAGAATAGAATAGAATAGAATAGAATAGAATAGAATAGAATAGAATAGAAAAATACTTTATTTATCAGACCAATATCCAACCTTCCTTTTATCTCAAAAATCCTTGAAAAGGTTGTGGCAAACCAACTATGCGATTATCTGCATGTAAATGGTTTGAATGAAGAGTTTCAGTCAGGATTTAGAATTCATCATAGTACAGAGACAGCACTGGTGAAGGT